GGCTTTAAAGAGTTGACTAGGCGTGGGAGAGGGTCACACCTTTCATATAAGTTAAAAAAATCGTGGTAAAATTGTTGGTAAGGTTGGTAAAATTGGTGGTAAATTCGGTAAAATTGCCGGTAAAGTTGGTAAACTCGCTGGTGAAGTCGGTAAAATTGGTGAAATCAACCAGAACACAAATTTTCCAATATTTTCGAAGCAGAACACATCGCAGCCAACCCTCCTCGCCGGAACATTCTCTACAAATGAAGTGCGGCACTTCATTGAGAGCGACTGCAAAACGCAGTAGAACAATGTCGGTGGTCATTTTGCCAAAAAATGGTACTGCGCCAATGTGCCAAATTTGGAATTTTCACAAAATTACCGAATTTTTTAAAATTTCCCGAATTTTTTTCAAAATTTCAGCCGGATTCCGTAAAGACGTGATCACATCGATAACCGAAGAGTTGAGCCAGGGAATTTACGCGCCGATGACAGCCACAGGCCATTTGATTGTCAACAATGTCTACGCGTCATGCCACAATATTGTCAGGTAAGACGGCCAAACGGAGCGCTTAGCCAAACGCGGCCCCGCCCCCTTCAACCTAAAATAATCCAATTCAAAACACCCCCAAAACTCTAAAATCGCGGTTATTTTCTTCGCCATCCCTCAAACAACATAACTTTTCAGCCAAAATTTCAATTCAATTCATTTTTTTTCAAAATTTCACGTCACGTTTTTTTGCCGTCCTAAAATTAAAAATTAATTTCAGGTCAACTACACTCGTACATACGTTCCTCTACTATCTGAAATCAGTGGAGAATCGTATCAGGCATTTTCTAAAAAACTGGTGGCCACACAGTAATCCGGTGTCCGTTTGTGATTTATCCAACGAAACGGATATCAAATCTGACGAGAGAACAGACCACTCACCCGAATATGATCTACCTTTCGGATCACGTCTTTTACTAGATCTACTCGATTATTTTGTTGTGATATCGTGAAATTTTTAAAAAATAAAAAATTTCGTCCAAAATCGCATTTTTTTAATCGTCATAACGGCACTCTCAAATCCATATATGAGATATATTTCCCCGGGTACCAAAAAAAATTCTAAATCAGGTCAAATGATCGCCTACTGACCGGATTTAAACCGATAATCCATGTGGTACCACCGCTGGAAAACAGGTCAAATTTTTTTTCAGAACACTTTCGTGATTATTTTATTGAAATCATTACCGTTGAACTAAACGAACTGAAATTAATTTCAAAGTTCCAAAGAAAAAATTTTTTGCGGAATCAATGATTATTTCAACAACAACGCGGAATCGTAACAATAATACAGTAGAGCGTGATATATGGATGGATGTGTGCCTGAGGCAGCACTGAAATTAATATCAGGTCATCGGAAAATTTTCTGAACTTAATATCAGGTCATCGAACTAAAAAATTCCTCCAAATGTTTTTCAATACCACAATGAGATGCTTTAGGGAAGAGAACGCGAAAAACAACAACAAGCAAAACAACGACCTGAAATCAAACAATGAAATAATTAAAAAATTGAATAATTAAAAAATTATTTTTTTTTCTGAAATTAATTTCAAAAAGGTACCACAAATATTAACGTATAAAAAACACACACGACATTCAACAATAATGAAAAGTGAACAATAAATATTCAATCGATCAGAAACATTCAAATAACGTTAACAACGCATAACGCCAAACATTGGTACCAAATTTCAGGTTTTTTTGAAGGAAAATTCAAACACCTTGTGACTTGATTTCAGGTCATTTTGGAATTCCGCGATTTGATTTAAGGTCGAACTGAAAAAATTAAGACCCTCTTCACTCAGCAAAAAAAACTCAGTTGGACGGAGGCGGTGGTGGATGCGGGGGGCGTGGCGTCGCTGCAAACGGCGGCGGCGGTGGGCGTACCATACGCACGCCACCAGGCGGTGGGGGCGGAGCAAACGGCGGTGGTGGGCGTGGCGGACCACCCGCACCACCACCGGCGCCGCCAGCACCGTAGAACGATGACGGTGGTGGAGGTNGGGGCCCCAGCGCCACCGCCCGTCGACGCGGCGGCGGCTGCGGCGCCGGGAGGTGGCGGAACGCCCGGAGTGGGCGGCGGTGCGCCGCCGGCCGACGACGCGGCGCCAGCGTTCGGTGGCGGACCAGGCGGTGGTATCGGCGGCATTCCAGGCGGAAGCATGCGCGGCGGCGGTGGTGGCGGAGGCGGAGTGGGCGTCGGCGTCGGCGCGGGCGGTCGAATTCCGGGCGTGATCGGCGGCGGAGGCGGTAGGCCCCAAAGCGGGGGCGGAGCTGAAATGAGCACAAATCAGATGAATGTTAAACAATCGCTAACGGACCAGCGAGAGCTGTGAAATCACTTACCGCTGACTGGTGGCGGTGGGCGTGGCGTTCCCAT